CTCAAAATTGATGTTTACAATAATTTTCAGACGAAAAAATAAGAATATTATAAATTTTTGGAAAATGGGCGTAGCCATGCCCACTTATGGTTACATGTGTATATCTTGTAATTGATGCTTGCAACAATTCTTTACCACCGCGGCACCGCCCACTTATGATCACATATATGTATATCAGTAACCGTTCTACCAATTTGTTTTAAACTCGGTGTGGTTATTGTGCTTGCCACATGAAAGCAAAGCATTGAAAATTATTGAAATCGGACTAAAATTACGGCCGCTTCTCATATAACGGTAAATTTCAGAAATGCTTGAAACTTCAATATTTCGAAATTGAAGGACGCTAATTTACTCAAAATTGATACACCCCGGCTTACCATCTAGCGGTAGGTTTCGGAAAGGTGAAAAAACATATATTTAATATTTGCGCCGGGTATTTAATGTTCGGCTCCGCCCGAACTTAGACTTTCTTACTTGTTGTAATTTACATTGATTATTTTCTGCATAAATGCAAAAATATTTATGTTTTTCTTTAATTTAGTATTAATATATTTATAACTAAGTAATAAATTATATTCTTTTTGTACAGATTTTCTACATTTTCTGGTTATTATTAACACGTTTACTGGGCGAATAAACATAACAAGCAGGCGTGAGGGACTAAACCACAAACAAATAGATATATTACAATAATATAAACAGCATAAATTACAAAAAGGACGCCAACAGCAACAACAATAATACTAATTCAATATAGTCGGGCAAAAAGTACTGAGGCAAAGCGCAGCGCAATAATTCAAGCAAACATAAAACAACTGCAAATTATAGTAGTTTAACACTTGCTATGTTTTACACATGCATGTATCTACATATATATATATATGCATTTTTATATATGTGTGTATGCATATACATATATATGTACGCAAAATTAAGTTACAATCTGACAAACGAAATGCAATGCACACTAGAGTTGTCCAATTTGTGCAAAAATTTTTTATTTATTTAAATAAATAATCAAGCAGCCACTCCAAATCACATTACAGTAACAAGCTTCTGCCCGATAACCGTCGTTTTGGTCTATATATAACCCACTTTCATGCTAAAACTGGCAGAACCAACTTTCAAAAAATATGCAGCAGGACAGCTTTCCCAAAATCTGGATATGTACCGTTAGAAGCAACAAAGTGTTTTCTTCGTATATTTCGGCACAACCACAAATTACAATTATCAACTTCTACTTGGTCCTTTAGAGAAATTTTGTAATTGTAGTTACCAATTTTTCCTACTCAAAATAAATACAAATAAGGTCCACCTTAATACAAAGTTCGTGGCATAAAAAATTTACAATTAACAAACACACGAATTTCAGGAACATAACTAAAAACATTTGGAGATATTACTACGAAACTTTGGTCCCATAAATTTAGCGTTGTTGTTTATTAAATGCCGCTATCGCAATGTTTATATTGCTTCGATGCATTGGGGGTGGCGTATGAGTAACATGCGTGAGCAGCTGATTTTGAAATATTTATTAGTTAAATAAACACAACCATAAGCGTTTTTGCAAATGCATACAAACTACATAATCTGTTAATAATATTATTTTATGGATGCATTGTTGACATTTAATAATAAACATAACAAACGTATGAACGTACACATATTTATGTATGTATGTATGCAAACTACATGGTGAAATAAAATATTCGTAAAATGGATAATATCGCGCAAGTATGGGGTTTTAAGTATAGGGGAAATTTACTGAGTTGTATGTCCATACAAAGACATACATATGTAAATATAGTGCTTATCTTAACCATACGACAATCACATATTGACAAGTTCTGAATATTTATTTTATTATTTTTCGTTTAAATATATTTTTTGTTTTACAAATAATGAGCTAATTATTTAAAATGCCTTTGTGCAATGTTTAAAAAAATGTTTGAAGCACCTTGGACTTAGCGTTGATTTTGGGCAATTTTTTTGGTTGACGATATAACTCAATTTCTTCCATACGAAGTATGTTTGACATTTTTTTTTTATTTGGAGAAAATGAGCAATACCTTAAATAAAAAAATTTATATAGATTTCAAAGGCCCCTAATAGGTTTCTACTAGGCTGTTCGATTATTTGCGTTTCCTCAATAACCTGTTTTCGGATTATTCGAAAAATGGCAATTAATAAAAAAAAACGATTCCCCAGAGGTATAGCTTTATTTTAAAAATTAGTTACATCGAAATATTTTAGAATACAATTAAAACAGCGAAAAATTTGTTGAAAATTCACACTTAAAGGGGCTCACCGCTCTTACCAAGATTATATCGCTAAACCAACAAAACCCTTGTCGGAAAAAACTCCAACATGTAAAATCGACTGTCTTGGGAAGGGGAATACACCATCCGCTGAACCACACCGACTATACAAATATAGTTCAGTTATTATAGACAGGACATTCATCGAAAATCAATCAACATCCCCTGAAATGTATCATCGAAGATCTTCGTAAGGCTCGTCATTTTCGAAAGAACTCTTTTCCGGTTATTGTAGGCCTGACGACACTTCAGATGCCAACTAACATCAGCTCATCTAACATCCGTCCACCTAAGTTCTAAACCCGTCGGATGTGGCATTTTCTTGACCCTGCCCTGATGATGATGTGAATGAAGACAGCATGTAGTCGATTCATACTACAGAAAGTGGTAAAAAGCTACAACAAAAAAAGTGAAGATTTTCGTTCCGTTTGGCTTTTATTTTTTAAGTATTTTTAAGCAGTGGAAAAGTTTCGAGTACTCAGATATACAATTAATAAAACGTTAATAAATAATAAATAAAAAATAAATTTTTAGATTCTTCTGTATAAATAAACTAGGAGAATCCGGTTTACCCGGTATTTGGAAAATAAAGATTTAAAAAAAAAACGCCTAAAAATATTATAAAAAAAATAAAAAAAATCAATTAAGTCATAGCTCAAATTAATATACATTCAATCGGTAGAAGGCTTGATAGAAATCCCTCATAAAAATCCAACAAGGTCTTTGTCACCTAAAATCGTCTAGAAACATTTACTTCTCAGTTTAGGAAAAATATTTTTCAAATGATTTTTATGATGCTACTCATCTAACACTTTTTTCGCTCAGCACGGTCTTTTTTTTGTAACGCTAACTTAAATTAATGTTTGTTGCACTATACCCATACAATGTAAATACGTACAAATGTATATTTAAGCGAAAAACATTTTAAATATTTATTGTTTACATGTTGCATTTCATGTACGGTTTGTTTGATTCGAAATTTATGCTAGTAGTAAACATTACACATGTATTAAATAGGATATTATTTATAATACTGTTGCAAGTAAAATTTAAAATAATATAAGATTAAATGTTAATTAAAAAAGGGACATCGCTTTGTATTGACTCATTTCAATATAGAGAATTTAAGACCACTCAAAAATTAATGAAGGGTGTCAATATTTTTTAAACTAAATTTGTTGAATTGATGGCCTGTAAGCTAGCAAGAAAAGGTGTTCTCGATGAATTTTGATGAGAAAACGGTACCTTACGTTTGCTAAACTTCTGGACAGAGGGGCTTTTAGCCAGCTCAGCGAACGCTGGGCGGAAAGCTTCAAATGCAAAGTGGCTAAGCCCTACTGGCCACGACTTAGCCGAGAGAGCTCTTAAATTTAAAAGTCAAATTTTTTGCTACAGGTCTGGGAGTTCTAACCGGTCACTGCCATCACCCGGGCCGCCAATGCAGCAACTGCAAAATTTCCAGCTTTCGCAAACTTAAGGTTTAAGCACTTTTGATCCCACTTCTTTCTCACCCTCTCAGGACATTTCAGGAATAGAAATTTGGCATTTTCTGAGCTCTGCCGTTATATTGGAACGTTTTTCTACTACAAACCTCTGAGCGTCATCGCTCAACTACAATGCCTTCATTTTCGCCCTATCCCTCTTTTAATGACCGGTAACGAGATGTATTGACCTTTGACCTCGCTTTCGTTTGCATAAAGGCTTGTACCGCGAAAAGTAAGAATAGTAAAGTTTAAGTGTAAGTTTTTCTGGTCACCTAGCATCTTATAAACTATAAATACATACAGTGACTCACACAAGTGTTTACGTGTTGATTGTTTTTTTTTTTTTTTTTGAATTACAAATTTTGTTATTTTTCCATAAAAATATTTTCGAAGCTTTAGATAAAACCATGTAAGTTACAGTTTAAAACTTTATACAAAATTTTGGAAAATTCATCAAATTTTCATGAAGATTTCTAGCTTTTTAATCTGAGTCTTTAATATAGTTTGGTGTTTGCACTCTTATGGTCCATACAATTTTAGTCTCATGAAGAGCAAGTTTCAAGCGGTTAAACAATTGCGTTGGTTTTGGCAAAATTTAGCTTGAAACAACGTAAATAATATCTAAAAAATCAACACGTGAACATTTGTGTGTCCCCAAAGTCATAAAATATTTTCATCATAGCGTAATTACTATGAAAGTCATTATACTAATTGCATAGACATTTTGTCATAATGATTATAGTAATCGTTATCGTCATCGCCGTCATTATTGTAATAATCATAGAGATACTCTTACGCATAATCACTGTCACATTTATAATCATAATCGTAGTCAAGATCATCATCATGATAATTATAAAAATCGAATCATACTCGTAATCATACTAATACTCATAATCATACTCACAATCATCACCATCAACTTACTCACAATCACAATCATAATCATTAATATACTCATAATCATAATCATACTCATAAGCATAATCATAGTCATGGTAGACGTAATCATACTCAGACTTATAATCATTATCTTACTAATAATCATAGTCATAATCATAATCGTAGTCAAAATAATAATCATAGTTATAATAATACTAATAATCATAATCATAATAACATTCATAATCATAATCATACTCATACTCATACTCATAATCATAATCTTACTCATAATCCCAATCATAATCATAATCAGAATCATAATCATACTCATACTCATACTCATAATAATACTCATACTCATACTCATACTCATAATCATACTCATAATCATACTCATTCTCATAATCATAATCTTACTCATAATACCAATCATAATCATAATCAGAATCATAATAATACTCATACTCATACTCATAATTATACTTATACTCATACTCATAATAATACTCATACTCATAATCATACGCATAATCATAACTATAATCATAGTGATAACCATGCTCATAATCATACTAACAATCATAATATTATCAGAATCATAATCATAGTAACAATCATAATCGTAGCCAAATCACAATCGTAATGGTAATTATAATCAAAATCTTTATCGTAATCGTAATCTTAGTCGTAACGGTAAACGTAATCGTAATAATATTTATGAATAAAAGTCCTTACCATTATCATAAGTCAAATCTGAATCGTATTAATTCGTGGTCATAATGGCTTTGGTAATCATATTCGTATTCGTCATCTTAATTGTAGTGCCATGCCCAAGTAAATCCACTGAAAAAAGTTCAACGAGCCTGAATGGCAAAAATACTAAGAAATTTTCACGGCTGATTATTCAAAACCATCCTAATTTCCGAATTGACTCACAGATGTAGTGCTTTATCTTAATAACACTAAGTGTACTTAAGAAACTACCGTTGCTCACCTTAATGGAGTCGACTTCATTGTCCCTCAACACTTAATTAAGAAAATCGATCACAAATGCGTCGAATTTAGCTTGGAATCTACTAAAATTCTCTGTAGATTACCTATTAATTTGGATAAGTAATTGAATGAATGAGTGGTTGGCATAAGTTAGTTATTTGGTTACTTTTGGCATTTTCAGATTCATTTGGATAGGCAATTTGGGAATGAGAATTACTAGAAATACGAAGTGCTGACGGTCGGGCAAATTTAAAGCTCGATATTAGTTATTTGTAGATGAAGGATGATGCATTTTAATTATCTATAAGTATACGTATGTATGTAGAATATTCTAGTTGCAATAAATCTACGCAAATTAATCATGCATAGCTACATTTACATACATACAAAATATTTAATTATTGTAAAAGTTTACAGTTGTGCACAATTTTTTGTGATTAACTTTTTTCGCTCGCTGGAAATGTCAACATTTGGTCGACAGCCAATTTCATAATAAATTATTATGCTTTGTAATTAAAAATGTAAATAAAAAAAAATTCGCTATTGTTGTTGCTGTTGTAATTTACATTTTGTTTCAGTGTTCGTACATACATATATTTACTGGCAGGAAATGAATTTTTGGCAAATTGTCAAGCGCATGGTATATACAACAACAAAGCTACTCATAGTACGAGTATTAAAATGTTTGACAGCGGCAGCGAAGATTGAAAAAAATAAAACAACAATAATAGTAATAATAGAAACAATTCGCTGTTATGGTAACGAGACAACAATGCCACAAAATGTAACATTTTTAATTTCCTGTGCAATGGCCGGTTGTCTTGGGAGCGGAGAGAAGGCACGCAAGGTGTAGGGTGTAGGCGGTTGGGTGACTGGAAGACATTATCAGCCAAGCATACCGAGTAAGCTAAACTGAAATTTGACATACTTTGTTTGTTTAGAAGCTTTTTCCCCCCTATTTTACATTTGCCTCCGAGTACTACTTGATTTTTAATGCAAATGAGTTTTTACAAAAAAAAACAAATTCGAATAACGCTGATTTTGCGTAAAACATACTTGTGTATGTATATATGTATGTATGTTTATACATGAAGAAGTTTGACTGTGACCATTCAATTACAAGTAGTGAAGCGACCGTAGTACAAATCAGATATGCCAACCAATTACTTTTCAAAGCGTTGGCGCTTAAGGTAATCTAGATTTTTTAGGGGGGGAAAACGTAAAGTATGATAACATCGACGCTTAACAGAACACAAGTTGGTTTTAAAAACGTTTACTTGTAACTTGTTTGACTACTTAAAATGGTCATGAAAGGAAGAAAACGATTTATATACGAGAGCAGTTTGATAAGTGCCTTTAGTGCAACACTGCTCCTGTCAATTGTCATCTTTTAATAGACTGCTATGTATTTTCAGCAAGCAAAAATGGCTTTCAAAATATATATTAGTATAGATAACAAATTAAATAAATTTTTAAATTAAATAATAAATAAATAAATGTTTTTGAATAATTTTTTAAATAATTGTAGGCATTTGAAATTAATTTCAAGTATTTTCCAAAACAGTAGAAGTATTCAAACGTAAAATTATGTTTTTTTTTTTAATTTTTCAACATAAACAAATCAAAAAAAATAGAGCCTTTTTAAAAAATCGCCACGGACAGATCGACGTGAAATTTAATTATCTTATAGACGACGGCGCAACCCAGCCTATTCTAACCTGCGGTGTTACTGCAACTGAAATTACGCAAATCGCTTTCTAGAAATATTTTCATCGTACGCGTGCTGCACTAGTAGTTTTAATTTTTGCTAAAAGTGCGGTCAAACCACTCGAGTGTTGCCGTCAGCCGAGATTTTTTGCGCATTTACAAAAAACTGTAAAAATGTTGCTTCGTAGGAAGAAAAAAAAACACTTGTAATGAATTTATTCTCATGATATGCATTCATTTGTGACTGTTATGTGCGCATTTAAGCATTTAAAACAAATTTTTCAGGACACAAATTTCGTTATAAGCATAAAAATGACTGATCACATAGTTGAATGTGGAATTTTCTGCATTCGTTGTGTAAACAGACAACAAGTAGTATCGGAGAGTTCAATTTACGGAAATAAAAACTGCTTTCCAAAGTTACTTTACTTTAGTTTAACCATAGTGTGCCCAACCTCATTAATTAACGTTGTTGTCTAACCGGGGTACCTGGGTACCCACTTACGGATTTATAACTAAAAGGCGCCTGTTACTTAGTATAATCCACGGTATTAGTGGCATATTGATTTATTTATTGTTAAAGAAGATATTTTTATACAAATCCGACGATAGCATTATATACAAGGACCTTTGTAATACAAAGTTCGGTATAATCTGTAATGAGTCGAAGCGTATATACTTGTGAGTTCCGAAAAGGTTTTGTACATTAAGCTGAAAAGGGAAGAAATAAGAAGGTCTCTATGTTCTGTTATATCCGAGGAATAAACTAGAACACCTTTGAAACAAATATGTATTACTTTCAGAAAGCGGCTTACTTTAATATCGATCGTTTACTTGGAGCAGCCTGACGTATTGCCGGTCATTACAAAAGAGCCACTTGGAAATTTTTGTGTTTTTTTTACATACTTTCTTAAATGTCGTGTATAGATAAAATAACTTTACGAATGTAAATAACAGACTAAATTTTTTATTAACACGTTTGCAAATGTACACTTTTTCATAATTAATATTTTTTTTTATTTTTAGTGCCTAAAAAAAATATATTTTTAGTATTTTAGTAATTTTTAGTTTGTTGATACATCTTTCCACCTATTCTGTAAGTGGGTACCGGGGTACCCGGTTGGACTATGCGAGTACATTTTTTTCAAATTCAATATTTTCTGGGCTGAAAAGGAATATAAAATATTTTAAATGCATTTCTCTATGTAAAATCAGTCAAATCGTGGGAATCGGGCAGGATTTTAAAAAATTGTTCCAAGAAAAAAGTTATTTGATACAATATGTGTCGATGGGTACCCGGATAGTCGGTTAGGCACACGAGGGTTAAGTCGGGAGGACTTCAGTATAATGTGACATTCGTAGCGTGCAATTGCGAATGACTCATTAGCCATTGAATAGCCTTAGGCAAATACAAATACAATCAATCAATAAAGTTTAGGTACAGCGAATTTTTTACAATAGGGGCAACTATATTTTAAATATTTTATTTTTCGCTAATTTTCTATATAAATATGGTTAATTCTACTACAAACACCCCACAAATCAGAGTTCTAGACTTTGTGCAAAATTAAAGAAAATTCTGAAAATTTTCATTCAAATATTGCACCTTTTATTTACAGTCTTTAGAAAAAAGTTGAGTATACAGGTTTTTAGCCCATTCAATTTTACTACTATAAAGTGTAAGTATGAGGAAGCTAAGACCTACCATTGATTTTTGGGATTTTTTTTTTTTTGTGGAAGGTGTCACATATTTTTTCCGTAAAAAAAAAATTATCTAACACTATTTTATATGGAGAAAATGAGCGACATGCTCAACAAAAACAATTGCTAAAAATCAATGGTAAGTCTTAGCTACCTCAAACTTGCACTTTGTTATACTAAAATTGAATGGGCTAAAAACTGTGTACTCAACTTTTTCTAAAGAGTGTAAATAAAAAGTGCAATATTTGGATATGAAAATTTGCTGAATTTTCTGTAATTTTGCAAAAGATTTGGAACTCTGAATTTTTTGGGGTTTTTTGTTGTAGAATTAACCATATTTTTATAAAAAATTTGCGAAAAAAAAAATTTTTTAAATAGTTTCCGATATTGTAAAAAATTCGCCTTGTACCTTAACTTTATTGACTGACTGCATGTATGTACGTGAAAGAAATGAATCTGATGCCAGCAAGCCTCTGTTAATATTCCCATCAAGTCTCATCAAAAAATTCCTTGTGGTTGCTATAATAAACGAAAAGATTGAAGCATACCGCCCGACTAAAGCTACAAGTGCTGTACATGTGTATGTTACTATGATTTTTCTGCAATCTATTCCATGTAATTATTTATTTATTTCTATGGTTTTGAGGAACCGAACGATATGCTAACCTAGATCCCAATTTTATTTCTTGTTTTATGATTTATGCCCAACCAGTTCATAGAAATTCTTACGGAAAATGGGATTTTTGCATAAAATACCATACCCAAGTTATTGGTAAGCAAAAACTGAATTGAAAGAAGTGGAAAAATTATAATAATGACACGACAAATAGCAATACTTAAGCGAATTACTGATGTTGATGCTGAAGCTATTGCTGTGATTTGTTGTTAACTACTTTGTAGCTTAAGCTCACTACATACCAGATATTTATGCCTGTAAATCGTTTATGTATTCCTCGATATTTGCATATGAGTATGACATTTTGTACAACAACATACGAATATGTAAATATGTATGTATGTATGAATATAATTTTACTGCAAGCAGGTGTGGTTTTTGCCAAGGGGTGGGGCCAATTCACTAGGTGAATTATTCAGCGTAATTTACGGGGATCATAGACATCTGAGGCAGTTGCAGGCATTTTGTACTTAGGTTATTTGTAGTATGCAAATAATATCTACTACATATCTACTATCTATGCGT